TGGAGATTTACAAAAAGAAAATCTCCAAACTTATCATCACAGTAAGTGATATTATTTTCTTGTGGAATAAAAACTCTGTTAATGGGAGCCACTCCTTTTGAGCATATTTTACAATAAATATACATGCCCTAGTTGAGGAATCGAGGACAGCATTTTCAACAAATGGTGCTGGTTCAACTGGAAGACAACATGTAGAAGAGTGAAAATTGATCCATTCTTATCCCCTTGTACAAAGCTCAAGTCTATGTGGATAAAGGATCTCCACATAAAACTAGATACACTGAAACTAATAGAAGAGAAGGTGGGGAAAAGCCTCGAATACTTGGGCACAGGGGAAAAGTTCCTGAACAGAACTCCAATGGCATATGCTCTAAGATCGAGAATTGACAAATGGGACTTCATAAAATTGCAAAGTTTCTGTAAGGCAAAGGACACTGTCAATAGGACAAAACGACAACCAACAAATTGGGAAAAGATCTTTACCAATCCTTCATCTGATAGAGGGCTAATATCCAATATATACAAAGAACTCAAGAAATTAGACTCCAGACAACCAAATTACCCTATTAAAAAATGGGGTATAGAGCTTAACAAAGAATTTTCAACGGAAGAAACTCGAATGGCCGAGAAGCATCTAAAGAAATGTTCAGCATCCTTAGTCGTCAGGGAAATGCAAATCAAAACAACCCTGAGATTCCATCTCACACCAGTCAGAATGGCTAAGATTAAAAACTCAGGTGATAGTAGATGCTGGCGAGGGTGTGGAGAAAGAGGAACACTCCTCCATTGTTGGTGGGACTGCAAGATGGTGCAACCACTTTGGAAATCAGTCTGGCGGTTCCTCAGAAAATTGGACATAGCATTACCCGAGGATCCAGCTATACCACTCCTAGGCATATACCCAGAAGATGCTCGAACATATAACAAGGACATATGCTCAACTATGTTCATAGCAGCCTTATTTATAATAGCCAGGAGCTGGAAAGAACCCAGATGTCCTTCAACTGAGGAATGGATTCAAAAAATGTGGTATATTTACACAATGGAGTATTACTCAGCTATTAAAAACAATGAATTCGGGAGGTTCCTTGGTAAATGGATGGAACTAGAAATTATCATCCTGAGTGAGGTAAGCCAATCACAAAAGAAGACACATGGTATTCACTCACTGATTATTGGATATTAGCCTAGAACCTTGAAATGCCCAAGATGCAACTCACAGGCCACATGAAGCCCATAAAGAAGGAAGACCAAGTGAGGGTGATTCGGTCCTTCTTAGAAGGAGCAACAAAATACTCAAGGGAGCAAATATGGAGACAAAGTGAGGGACAGAAACTGAAGGAGGGGCCGTCTCAAGACCACTCCACCTGAGTATCTATCCCATGTGCAATCACCAAAGGTAGATGCTGATGTGGAAGACAGGAAGTGCATGCTGATAAGAGCCTGATATGGATATCTCCTCAGAGGCCTTCAAGAGTCAGACATATTCAGAGGCAGATGCTCACAACTAGCCATTGAACTGATCATGGGGTTCTCAATAGAGGAGTTAGAGTGAAGACTGAAGGAGCTGAAAGGGTTTGTGGCACCATGAGGAGAGCAACAATACCAACCAACCACAGCTCCCAGGGTCTAAACCACCAGCCTGGGAGCACTTAGGGGGGGATCCAGGGCTTCAGCTGAATATGTAAAAGTGGAGGGCCCTGCTGGGCATAGGTGGAAGAAGAGAACCTTGACCTCATGAAGGCTGGATGCCCCAGGGGGTGGGAATTTTGAGGGTGGGGA